CCTTTTAACTCATTTGGGTTTTCCCCTGTCAGCCATCATACTTTGATCATCTGAATCAGATGATAGTATGAGGAGGAACCACAGACGTGACAGCTTTATACAGTACTGTATATTGTAGGATGCAGATTATGTGTATTACTTGTGAGTGTGTGTACTTGTACACTTGGCTTGATCGTAAGTGAGAAAGAAAAATGTGTTTGCGGTTGTAAAGTGGAAGCCAAGTGTGCTGACCAACATAAAATTGGAAAGTCAAGGTGTGTGATGAAGTGCACCTGTAGGCCTGCTCTCCACTGACCACAAGAATACTTTGTTTTATTGTGCATGTGTGTTATAGGTTCAGTGTGTGTGTGTGTGTGTGTGTGTGTGTGTGTGTGTGTTGATGGAGAGTCATTGTAATCTACCCATGAAATTAAGACTACAGAGAAAGTTCCAGTGTTTGTATTAGGGTGTAAATCGAACTATTTGCATCTGTTTTTACAAACTATCCTTGACATTAGAGACATTCCTGTTGGTGTGTGTGTGTGTTTACTTGTGTGTGTGTGTGTGTATGTGTATGTGTGTGTGTGTGTGTTATGGAAGAGTTTTCAGAGCCCTGAGCATTTCTCACCATTGTCCGGAGACAAACAGGGGAGGGGGATTTGAAGAATCTTCTGAACATGCTGACAGCTTGTCATGGCTCCTCCTACGTCTGTAATGAATTTCAGCTTTTTGTGGTGTGTGTGGTCCCGCTGCACTGATAAGCTCTGGCACTAATACAGTTTACAATGAGTGTGTGTGTGTGTGTGTGTCTGTGTGTGTGTCTGTGTGTGGGCTGACATGATGTTTACATGCTTTGAGCAGAAGTAGTTTGATGCATTGCAGTGTTTGCCAATAATAATAATGATGATGATTGTTGTATAACAGTTGAGTTAGTGAGGCTGTTAGTTTGTGACTAAAATAGCTCCAATAGATCCATGGTGGACTGTTACTTATTTATTTAATTTATGTATTATACATAAATGTACATTCTTCATGTATAAAGTCAAAGTGCTTTACAGAGTTAAAAAACAACACATTTATAACATGGAGCACCGATAGCCTAGCGGTTGTGTCGCTAGCTTTAAAAAGACATATTACATATTAGGTTAAGCAAAAACCAAGGCAGTAAAATACAACATAATATTAAAATAACATCAGTTTGGGTGATTACTGATAAATTATCCGCCCTGTGTGTCCACCAGTGTTAAAGCGATCTGAGGTCACTCTGCAGAGTCTTACCTTCAGACGCACACACACTCATTTATTGCTCTACCATCAGTGTGTGAATGAGAAGGTGTGACATGCGCTGTAAAAGCACTTAAATATACAAGCTCAAGTCCGTTTACTGTGTTTACGTCTGTAACGTTTAGCTGCTCAAATAAGAAGGAAGTCTTGGCTGGAAGTCATTTAATTGCTGAGACTGCACATTTAGCAACGGAAACTTTACAAGAAGCACTTCACAAATTACAAAATGCACTCCTTGATTTAAAATTATTACTGAATGCAGACAAAACTAAATACATGCTCTTTACACGAGCCAGAAATACCACAGACAATGACTTGCATATAACAACTCTGGAAGGTCACAATATTGAAAGAGTACCTCATTATGAATATCTTGGCATCTGGTTGGATCAATCCCTTTCATTTAAATTTCACATTGATACATTAATCACTAAACTACGACAGAAAATTGGAGACTTGTACAGAAACAAAGTGAACTTCCCCTTAGTGAGTAGAAAGCGAATAATTGAAGCCATCTTCCTATCTGTTCTGGACTACGGGGATGTCATTTATAGACATGCTTCTGCCTCCACCCCAAAATCATTACACACAGTTTATCACTCCGCCCTCAGATTTATCACTGGTGACAAATATTCCACTCATCATTGCATCCTGTACGATAAAGTTGGTTGGCCTTCACTAACAGTTAGACGTGAACGGCATTGGCTGCTATTTATTTATAAATCACTTGCGGGTAATCGACCAGCATACATCACTTCTTTATTAATCTGGGCTGATAATCAGTATCAGACTCGATCAAGTGACTGGCTAATGTTAACGGTTCCACATGTAAAAACGAACTTTGGGAAAACATCCTTCACCTATTGTGCTGCACACACCTGGAACACAACACAAAACACATTCAAACTCAATACAATGATTACCATGGGTCAATTTAAAAACTTGATCACAGCTCACTGTACTCAGGAGTGTAAATGTTATTAACTGTAGTTACCTGCTTACTGCTTATTCTTCTGGTCTTATAATCTATGTATTTTATCTTTGTTGCTTTTTGTCTTTTTTTTGTCTCTTATTCGTTTTAATTGTACTCTCGACGCCATTGTAAATGAGGGCTTGTCCTCAATGATTTCTCGAGAATAAATAAAGGTAAAATGAAATGAAAATGAAATAATGCAACAGGCTAACCCCGGCATTACCAAGAAGTAGACACCCCCCAAAACATTATATATATATATATATATATATATATATATATATATATATATATATTACCTTCAGCTTGATGATGGGCAGTAAATGCCCAATAGGTTCCGAGATTACCTGCACATTTATCTAATAGGGGCACAGACCACAAACTTTTTCCACCATGTGAAAAGGTTTTCTCCCAACACTTCTTTCCAAAAGTTTCCAGACATTATTATGAATTCCTACCTCTTTTTTTTTTTTTTTTTTTTGGCGCCATGTCGCAGGTTTCAGCTCCTACAGTTAAAAAATAAAATAAAATCACAAATCTGTTTCCTTGCACTTAGCTCTGCATCCACACACACACACACACACACACACACACACACACACACACACATGCATGCTCACTTACACACACACACACACACACACACTCAAACACACACAAGCTGTTGTCAGAATAGGGGCTGGCATGTATCTTTGTGCCTTGTCATCACATGCTCCGACTGAGCTCTAAATGTCACTTGTCTCTCTCCGCTTCATCTGCCTGACTCATCCTCCCTGTCCTCACTCTGCATTTCAAAATGCTTCTGTGTGTGTGTGTGTGTGTGTGTGTGTGCGTGTGTGTGTGCGACGCTGACATGTGCCGGTGTGTATGCATTTGATGGACACACTGCCGCTCTCCACCTCCCTTTGAACGTCGCCTGCAAGCACAATGATGCTCCCTGCATTGATTTCCCCGTGCCATACTATAATTATATCTCCTCTCTTTTTATTCGTCCTTCCCTCTCTCTCTCTCTCTCTCTCTATCCCTCCTTCTCTCTTTTATCCTGTCTCTCTTATCTCCCCCCCCTCTTCCCTCTTCTATTTTTCTAATTCCATCCCCCTGATCCATTTTTATGCCACACTGTTTCCATGCTTGTTATCTCGGCCCTTTCTCTCTTTTTCTTTTTTTTTCTTTCTCCATGTTTGATCTCAACTTCTTAATTTCCTTTCTCATCTACGTCACTCAGCTCAGCTCAGCTTCGTTTTGCACCAACCCTCCCTTCTCTAAGGGACTTTGCTTTTTTTTTGTTGTTGTTGTAAGATATTAATTTTATAATTTTGATTTTCCATTTCTGATTTTTTTCTTATCTTCTTTATCTTTTTTTAATTGGCAGATCTTGCCCTCTCACCAGATCGTTTTTTCGATGTTGAGTCTTTAAACACACAGCTTGGCCCGAGGTCTTCAAAATATGACGTTCTAAAAACCCCTCTGGTGTCATGTGTGGAAGCTTGCTCTGGCTTTGGGGTGATGGATGAGTTCATTAAACACACAAACTTTAGTCCAGGACTGATTTCAGTATAATCTCGGGAATATTTACATATTTTTTTGCCTTTAAAACATGAATGCTGCATCTTAAATGTGACTTTCCTTACATCATATATAACACTATATAAAGACCTTGTAAAAGTTAGAACTTAAGTTACACACTTTTCTTTTATTAATAAAGCTGTTTATTCTTTTGGACAGTTGAGAAACCTTTAACTGTGTCCATCTTTGAAATCCCCCTCTCTTCATTTTTCCTCTTTGTTCGCCCTCTCTCTGCTTTTTTCCCCTCACTGGGATGTCTCTATCTTTGTGTCGTCTACATACGCTTAAGTTTTCTCTAATTGTAATTCATGTAGCAGCTTGGTCTGAGAAATGTTGTTGGTAAGAAGCTCCATGTTGATCTATATGACAAAACCATTATAAAATGTAATGTCATTAATTTACCTTCTTAACTGCTGAAACAGTTAAAAAATGAACATCATATGCTCTGTGTTTGTAATGTGAATTTTATGTAGCAAGCAAAATGGCCTTTGTAGGTATTGAAAATCAAATCATGATTAAACAACACCAATTACCAAAATAAAATAAAGAAAGTTCCTGAAACTCGGCCTCTACGATTGCTTTCACACAAAAACTTGAAAATGATACACTGTCATTACAATTTAAGGGATAGTATGATAATACTGATGATAAGTGTAAACTCCTTTCGTGAGCTGAAATTAGTGTTTAGCTTCACTTTAGTGTTGTTTATTGCTGTTGTCATTTCTTTATTTAAAGGGATACTTTGAATATGATATGAATCTGTACTGACATTGGGTCATATAAGTATGACGTTTTTTTACGTCATCGGAGGTTCCTTTTCAGACTTAAAAAAATACAAAGATTTCACATCTCAGGGGAAAATGAGGGCGGGATGCACGACCATTCAAAAATACTACCAGGTTTCTAATGATACAAAGCTTAATGCAAATGGGTGAAGTATCCCTTTAACTACTGTTATTTTTTAATATCATCCAAATAAAGATATCAATCAATCAACACTCGACCCACAAGATAGAAAGTCCAGATTTAAAGCCCAGATCCAGACGATATTTCCCCTGATGATTGGCCAGAGATGATGTGATTTCTGTGTAATCTTATTGGTTACATGCATCTTCAGGTGATTGCTCTTTCCTCTGTTTTTCCCTAATCAACTCTTTCCAATCTTCTCTCTCTCTCTTCTGTTTTTTTTTATCTGCAGCATCTCTGGAGTGCTCTCCATCTTCTCCGTAACCTGACGGAGACGTCCACCTTAAAATGTGATCCCTCATCTTCTCTGTGGAACAATCGCAGCGCTCCGTCTCATATCGTCATTCTCCGACTGAACTGGAAAAAAAAAAAAAAAAAAAAACTCCTGCCTTCTTTCCCAGCCACTCCTGAGAAGCTCCCACAAGTTCTGACTTGCTGTTTCCTCACAGTCCAAACAATTCCTCACAGCTTCCTGGAATATGACCAAGAGTTTCCATCACAGGCGTCCCATCTCTCCGCTCATTTCTGACCTCCGCCGCCAAATCTGTACCACAACTCTCACGCTATAACTCCTACACTCCTCTCAGACATGGCGACACTCCCTCTGCCTCTGGAAGCAAGAGCCACAATAATGTTTTCCCCAGAATTCAACACTTTCCTGATAGAATTCAAAAACAAAGATACTCTGTGAAGTCGAGCCTTGTGATTGGATGACAGTTTTAACATTTTAGGGAACTTATCCAACCACGCTCATCCATCCTTACAGTGAAGCAAACATTCCCAATCTGTGACCCGTGGACCAAATTTGGCCCCTAAACAACTTTAAGTCATGACTATAATAAAAAATGACTAGATCTGGGAAATGACAAAGAAATATCTGTAAAAAATAATCTCAAATAAGAGACATAAGCTTCATATTGTTTTTAAAGCAATGCAGAGCTAAACTCAGTTAATGAATCTGTAAAATATTTGATTATTATCAGACTAACAAACCTACAATTCAACTGGTATTTCTGTTGTTTACTTAAGAAATGCATTTCAGCCAAGTTATTGTTCGATACAGTAGTATTTAAGAGTCTAACTTAAAAAAATAAAAAATTAAAGCTCCTGTGAGGAACTTGAATTTTTAGTTAGGTATTTATTTTCTCTTTTCTGATCCTTTCATGTACTTTATGTACATGTAGGTAATTTTTTCTGATCCTAAAATCTTATCCTCCTTGGCCTTAGCAGTCCAATAAACTACTTCCTGTTTAAATCAGCAATAGAAAAATGTATGAAGAATGCTGTTTTTGAGAAATATCAAACACTACTAATATCTATATGATATTTCTCAATATTATTCCTGATGGTCTTGTTTACTTTTAAAGGTCATAAAGAAACATCAGCATTAATTTCAGTCTGATTTATAACCAACATTGGTAGCTTTAAATGCAACAGATTCATCGAAACGTCCATTTAAAACATGTTAGCAGTAAAACAGTGTTTTGCTAACACCATAAATTCCTTGCATCACAGGTCTGACATATGAAATAACATGTCCAGTACCTTGCCCCTTGTCCCTTGAGTAGGCCTTCAGTAAAAAGTGAAACCTATACATTCTCATTTCTACATTCAAACACAGTCTCTGGGTCTCTTTGTCGCATGTTAGCATCTTCATTGTAGCATTGTTTTTTCTTGAGGTTCGCTGCTGAGCTTCCCTCCAAAAGACTTTCAGCTGTGGCTTCATAAAAACTGTCAACCAGACCTTACTATACACTTCTGCTTCCCTAATTCCCACAATGCAAAAGGACTTACACATCTAACACAACCATTGGTGTGTATTGTGCTCTTTCTCTCTCTCATTCTGTGCATAGATCCTGTAAACAGTGTTTCAAAAACTCCATATCTCTCCTCACTACTTCTCCATATTGTGGATCGCTCTCTTAGACGGTACAGCCGGAGAGGACTTCACTGTGAAAACAACCGACAGTAAAGAGTGGGGATAAACAGTCAACATGGCATCACATTAGGTGCGGGTTAAGTTAAAGGGTCCCTGCGAAAAAATGAACGGCATCGTTGTGAAAAGCAATCTGAGGAGATGAAGCAGAACCTGGAGGAAAGAAAAAAAAAAAAAAAAAGGCCAGGATGAACTGCAATAAGGAAATTCCCTCGGTGTCTCTCTAAAAGCACCGTGCCAGCAGGTGAACTGAAACAAAGGCGAAAAGGGAGTGGCTGAAAGAAAGGCGAAGAAAAAAAAAAAAAGGAGCAGGCAAAGCAAAAAAAAAAAAAAAAAGGGCTCCGAGACGCTTCATCTCGAAACTCTTAACCGCTAATGAGGGGAGAGAAGAAGAAGAAAAGACATCACAGATAACAAAAGAAGAGCCTTTTTTCATTTCCCCATGTAACGTTGACTCTTTATTGCTTCGTCCTCTTCCCATCTCACCGCTTTGAGACTATTTTTAGATGAGAAATATTGAAAATACAGTAGAAAGGAGACATGCTGTGGGCCAAGAAAGCTCATCATGGAAATGTTGTTTATCACAATATTAGGAAGAAACACTATATCCTATTTATCTCAAGACTCTGTTAATGTGAATAATGGCCACTCACTGTTGATATTTTAGTATTTTAACTGCACTTAAAAGCACATTTGTCCATCAGGAAACAAATCATCTGTTACTCATCTTTGCCACTTTGTTCTTTGAGTGTAAATACATGACTGTAGCCAGGATTAACACCTCTGATATCAATATCAGCAGCTGGTTTTTAGGAGTGAAATTCATCAAAAACCTCTGATGTAGCATGAGATGTTGTCATGGTAACAACATCTTTCCTCTCTGGATGGGTGCTGTCAATCAAAAGGAGCATAAAAAAGGCTCCGCGGTTGGAGCGTTTGGGTAAAAACGGGGTCAAAGTCGGCCCCTGAGAGCTATCAGGTTTTAATGGGATTCCATTTGTACACCGGTCCCTGTGTGTCCAGCCATTCATTGTTTGGATAGCAGCTGTAGCCTCTAATGCAGCAGAGACCTGTGAGTAGATTGAAAAGTATTGATCAGATAGTCAGGACATACAGTCGGTCCGCCAGGATCACAAAAGCCTCCGGGAGTGTGTTTTGTGTGTATTGGTGTGTGTGTGTGTGTGTGTGTGTACTGACAGTCACATAGGAATGGAGATGTTGGGGCTAAAACACAAGTGGCTATTTCACGGTCGGGTGGAGATGCCGTGTCCATGTCTGTCAAGGCCACAGGAGAAGGAAGAGTGGGGGGATGAAGCTTCCGTTAAGTTGGGAATTTCTCCATTCTACTATCAAATTGGAAACTGTCAATATTCAGACTGGGAGAAATGGTTTCCTGTCGTAGGTAGCTGGTGACTGAGGTGTGAATTCATTCATGCAAACAACTCTCAGCAGGAGTTCCTGACAGTATGATAAAGCAAATTTATCAATATAATGAAGGGATATTAATGCTGGTAATCTAAAAGTTCCTCTCTTGGCATCGATCATCCTCCAAAAAACGTTTTCTCTGCTTTAGAAAAATTATAGATTTATACATTCTCAGTGCTAATGAAAATGGTTTACCCACTAGTCCCCAGCGCTAAATCTCCCACCCGCCCCTTGGCTGATCACCTCCAGGTCGAGGCAAGTCGCCACATAATGTAATTTATGTAGGCCTATGCTCTCTACTAATCAATCCCAACATAATGTGAGACCCTCATGTCTGTGCAGCCAGAAGCCAGCTAGCTTAATTTAGTTAAATCCCACATAGCCTATGTACCAGCACTTTGAGAACCCACTAACATTAATAGCTAAATGTTTGATTGTTATTTTGTTAATTCGGTCTTTGTATAATCATAAATAATGTTCTGTCCGACACTCCTTAATATATCTGACAATGAGAGAAACTGCATCTTGAAAAAACTGCTGACTCATTCTCTTGTCAAAGCTGGTTAGCATAGCCTATCATAACTCTTCTCAAGGGAACAAATTAGCCAACATTTTCTTCCAAAGATGATTAATTCATCCAAGAATGACACTGAAATACAGTATAACATGTTTATTCGATTGGCTGTACGTCAGGTTTTGTTACAATCCGACATAGCTAATCGGTTAGCCTACTTGTTTACAGTCTGTATGCTAGGCTAATGAACCTGCTGCTTATTGTGGGGCTTCACATTTGGCACATTAACAGTGGAGGGATAATTATATTTGTATGTAAATCTCTGACAAAAACCAAAGTGATTTTTTTTTTTTTTCAAAAGTGTTAACTGCCTAAATTTAGATTAAATTTGTTTGTTTTGTTTTATTTGGATCCCCATTAGCTTCAGCATAGCGAGAAGCTATTCTTCCTGGGGTCCGCAAGTGTTGCTTAGCTGATCGGAAACGTTAAAGTTTGCAAAAAAGAACCTGGCTGAAGAAATGTCCGTTCATCCACTGATCGAACCTGGTGGGGAAAAAACACACCAAGCTGACTTCCTGTGATCTTCCAGTATATGAACCACTTGCATTGGATTTCATCATATTTTCAATTGTGGCCCTGTAAAGAAAGAAAGAAAGAAAGCACTGTGTGTGTGTGTTACAACTTCAATGTGGGTATAATAGATTATTCAAGCCTTTGTATCAAAACATAACGTTTTCTTTCTCTTAGGAATTAATTTGTAGAATTTCCATGCCAACAGTCTAAACTTTGGAACAAGAACTAAACTAGCTTGCAGGTTTTTCCACTACAAACAAATGTAGCAGCGTGTTGTAGTGATGCATATGCCAGGCTGTAGCACTGTAATAACCCTGGATGTAGGCAGTAAAATATTGATCCTTTATTGTTAATCTCCAGAGTGTTTTCAGTGAGGAATAGATTTTGTCTTCAGAGGCATGAGGGAAAATTTCCACTGTATTTTGGCGCTGATATCCAGGTATAACCAGCCCCAGATCTGGCAACTGTGCCAAAATGTCCGAGGACTTGCCTCGGCTCGTATAGTCTGGCAGTACCCTGAGAGTGGTTTGGCACGTACTCATAGAAGCTGATCAACGATGCTCTGTTACACAAGAGAACGCCAGACTGAAAACCTCACACACGTTATTGCACAAGAACTTTTCACACATGCTGGCACACATGTAAAACGCACATAAAGTCAGACTTTGTGTGTAAAATACGCATCAACAAGCACACGGACGCATCATTTCTAAGCAGATTGGTGGCAAATAGTGACGCCATGCTGACACGTAGAAACAGGTGACAAAGCAAACATGTAAACAACGCCTCACAATCACAATCTAAACAGACGACAAATCTAAGATTTTAGTTTCGGCCATGTTTGACAGCACGTTTCGAAAGAGTGTTTTTGTAACCAACAGGCATGATGAGGTCTGTAGCTCCCCCTCTATCTACTTATAAGGTGCCTAATGATGGATATTAATGATGATATTGATACCATGTTCAGTATATAAATATCTATATATATAATAAACAGATTAATCATGTGTAATGTGTCCTCTATTTATTCACAGCAGGGTAGGGTGTGTGTTTGTGTGTGTGTACAGCTTTTCTCACAGGTAGCAGATGTACAGTGAGTTTGCAGAAACGATCACCTGACAGATGTGACAGATGTTGTTTCTGTCGAGCTGTGATGATGCAGCTCGGGGGAAGTCTCTCACGGTAAGCACACAGCAGCTCATCAGGCCTCTGGATTTCTGCAGGAGAAGCTGTGGATCACAAACAGAATGACTGTGAGTGTATGTGACTGTGAGTGTATGTGTTTATGAAGCTTTCATGTCATTTTAGTTTTTCTGTGTGTACTCGTGCCAAAAGGTCTCCCTGTGCTAAAGACATTTTCATCTCCGATTGTTTTGGTTTCTCATGGCGTTCTTTTGCCTCAACAATTTTCCCTCGCAGGCTTAAGAAAGCAAGTTAACATGAGTCCTAAAGAGTTTTGGAAATGTGGAACTGTTCTTTTCATGTGTGCACGTTTGATTTATTTTTTTATAATAAGACAAAGCCTTGCCAGGAAGCTATGCTAGAGGCAGATGAAATGAACTATATTTCTAACTATATGTTGTTATAGATGGATAATCATCAATCTTTGAGGCTTCAAAAAATTACTTTTAACAATGTATTGAGACATTAGGTGAAACTTAAGATCCTGGCTGTGCTACATTTAACAAAAATGTATTTCAAAATTGCTTTCATCTCCTTGAAAGTAAAGTCATAGTTGCTTGATTTAATTTCAAGAAGCTAATTTTCCAAGGTATAACGGTCGATCCCACAACTACTGTGAATGGCTCTTTGAATGTATTGAAATTGATGCTCAAGCGAAACACTCTATGGTACCTCTGCTCCGCATGCTGCAGTGTTGAGGGTGAGGTGAGGGAAGAGGAGGAGGAGGAGGAGGAGGGGGATAACCAGCGTGAGGGATGAAGAGAAAGTAAGATATGACAGAAAATCGCTCGCACTCAGTCCCCTGCCGCCTCTCCTGAGACCTGCAAACACACAAACCTCAGCACTACGGGCTCTCCCACCGCCTGCTTGGATGAGATCTCCACCGTTTTCTTTTGGTCTCTGTGTGTGTCTGCGAAAATTTCCCCTCCACTGTTTTCTCACTTTGCCCTGTCCCTCTTTTTCTCTCCTTCAGTTTTGCTGTTCTGATTCTATCCATCACTCATTCTGTGTGTGTGTGTGTGTGTGTGTGTGTGTGTGTGTGTGTGTGTGTGTGTCAGGATCTGAGACTGCAGCTCAAACATGTGCTCTCTTTCATCTATCCTGTTTTCACTCCTCTTTTTCTCTGCTATCATTTCATGTCTTCCAGTTTTTGGCTGTTTCTATTTCTATCTGACTTTGTTTTCTTTGTTGACATGGGTATTCCAACGTCTTTGTATTTTCTTTATTTCATCTCTTTTGTGTGTCTGCCTCCTTCTCGGTCACACGTTCACGTTGAGCTCAAGCAGGCAACTGTATGAATTAAACATCTTAACACAGAGCACACGCTGAGCTTCTTAGGAGTGTCAGGATGAGCACTGGTACTCAGATTGGAGGGCTCTGGCCACACACCGCGAGTGTTTGTGTGTTCTGTGAGTGTCACATTATCACATGGCGCTGCGAGGGGATACCACACCAGTTTTCACTTCATGTTTGTTAATGTCAGAGGGGTTAAAGTGAGAAAGCTTGATGTGGCAGCTTTCGTTTAGTCAGGAATCTGTTGTAATCGCAGTATACGCTCTTTGAAAATGAACACAATCAAATCTGTGGGTTTGGGCGGGATCGTGGGCGGGTGTATCCTTATCTTTCAGTTATTGTAAATTTTAAATAGATTTGTTGCCACAGCTGTGTGATTTGTGACTTGTATTGAAAAGATGAAAATCAAACATTTATATTTTTCACGTTACCCTTTTTTTCCTTGAGCCTTTTTAGCTTTTTTTGGTTTTTTTGGAGTTTGGATAATTGACTACATTTATCTTAATATTGCTAGTAAGGTACAAAGCAGGGCCGGCTATAGCTATTATGGTGCCTTAGAGGAGATCATGCCCCCCAGCCCCCAATATTGACGGGTACTCTCAGAAAAAAGAAATGGACAAATTTGAAGAAATTGTGTTCCTCTATCAAAGGGGTTAATTTGTGGAATAGCTTTGTAAATTAATTATGTGTAGTTTATAAAATTCATCATTTTCAAAAATAACTTGATCAATGCATTGAAGTATGAATGAATGCATATTTGGAGGGGGATTTTTATTATGGCAGAATTTAAGTCCTACTACTTTTTTTTGACAGGAAACTTTCTCCGTCTTCTCTTTTTTTTCCACACTCTTTCAAAATGCTTTCCTTGTCTCCCCTCGCGTCTTATCTCTGCTCTTCCTTTATCGCGTTTGATTTCTCCGTACGTGTTGTTTTCGACCTGTGGTTTATTTCAAAACCATTCTTGCTTTAAACAACATCCCCTTCCCCCCCTCTTATTTCCCCTGTTTTATTCTCTTAGTTCATTTCTCAACTTTCTTCTTTTGTTTTTGATCTTTTTTTTGCTTTTTTTGTCCTTCTGCTCTTTCATCTCTCCCACCCTCCACCCAACATTTCTCCTCTTCTTTCCCTCTCTTTATGCTGATCCTGTCCATATGACTGATATCGAAGCGACTGATGTTGCTTGTTTGGCCGACGATCCCCTTCTTTATCTTTGTGTGTTTCTGAGTATCATTATCTCTACATGTGTCAGTATCCGTGCCCGTTACCGTTATCTGCCTTATCTTTGCAAAAGTGTGCACACATGTGAAGTGGCACTAGGAGACTCTCTTCACCAGCTAAGCCTTCCTATCAGCCGTGGCTGTGTGTTGATTCAGTATAGATCAAACTGACATCCATCCGGTCATGAACTCCCAGCTCTGTCCCCGCTCTGTGCCCACCAAGCAAACAGACGTTTTTTTATTGTGTTTTATCTGGCCAGCTTTGTGCACAACTAGTGTCAGCACTGCAGAGGATAATGCACACTTTGTTACTCTGATTTACTGCGCCAACCTTTTTAAAGTTTAAGAGGTCTTTTACAGGTCAAAAAAGATGGTTGCAGATCGGATCAATTGGATGCTCAGTGTGCAGAGGAATAATGGGTCGGAGAAGACATTCAGTTCAGTTTACACTTTAAGGCTTGTAAAAGCTGCTTGAATCAATATTTATGTACAGACATCATGTTGTACTCTGAAAGAATCCAATCATACCTGACTTAATTCATTTATTTCAGACACATATGTCCAAATTAGGAGTACAGTTTTTACAGTTCACAAGTCCCTATAGCGATTCTAACCTGAAGAGCCTACACATGTGAGAGTGTGGGCTGAGTAAGTGCCATATGATGTCATCTTTTAATCATTTTTTACAAACATTTAAAAAACAAATCCAAAGTTACTAACCTATGTCAATGAAAAATCAAAAGCTGTTTTAGTGTTTTTTAATTGATTGTTTTTAGTTTTACGGCATACAGCTGTAAAAGTTTTAATCCCTCTAGCAGAGACTGTAAAAAAACATGGACGTAGTCTCAGTGATGTCAAACATTGGTTTCCGACGCGTCATTTTGAAGTTCATTGATGGTGTTGTTTTATCGAAAAGTGCTACCCATCCTGATGTTTTACCATGCGGCTCTGTGCAGTACGCGGAGCATTACTTGATAGCGGCTTTTTTCATCCATCGTGAAATGCTTCGTCTAATTTCTTAAGCAAAGGTTTTTATTATAGAGTATCAAATGCTTCCCCCCACACTTTGATAATGAATATGGAGTGAGTTTTGAATAAATATGTTATTTTGTTATGGTAGCATTTTTGGACAAGGCTGTAAATCTCGACAAAACAGCTTCTTGGAAATGCTGCCTTTTGACTAACTTTTGTTCAACCTATAACAGGTAACGAGCTGAAGCTGAGGCGGGTCTAAAGCTTCCTGACAAATAGCGACATTCATGAAATCAAAACGGTTGAGTTATTATAAAAAAATACTTTAGACCCTCATACAGGTTGTGCTGATAAATACATGAACTATTCAGACCAAAACTGCAATTTGTGCCAGGCTGAAAACATGTTTATTTATGCTAACAAAATGGATATTTTAATATTGTTTGTGTATTGGACTTCCGGGTTTTTCAGAGCCAGCCTCAAGTGGACACTTGAGGAACTGCAGTTCTTTCCACTTCTTGCATTGGCTTCATTTCTCAACCCTCAGAGGTTGCTGCTTGCCCTCCAGCTAGAAAGGGGTATCTTTTTCAGCTAAATAGTTTTTATTGATCTATTATTAACCCCCAAAACATCCAGTTATCCGCTCATTTACCCCTTTCACACCTTTAATGTTGTGAGAGCTATTTTTATCCTCCACCTTCTGAAAGTAAGTTGCAGTATGTTACTTAAAAGGAAGCAAGCCTCTTAAAAGTCCCATGTTTATTTGAGTCATCCTAAAAACCCTAACCACCACTCCAATTGGGTACTTACACACCTCTCATCCTGCTTCCACTTACCTAAACACCACATGAAGAAAATAAGCTAGAAAACAGCATCCAGAACTTGTGCTAGAGGGCTGCATTTAGCTTATCTTTATGTCGGGCCATTGAACAAGCTTCCATATCTGACAACTCTGAGAACAGATTTGTATTTCATAATGGCACACTTAAGATGCATTTCTGTACAAATGTAGAAAGGAAACTTGTAAATAGGGAGATAATGTGCAATAATATTCTCATTAAAGTCTTTATGTGCATTTTCACACTTAAAGTAAAATCAAGTATACCTCTGAAAATAACTCTGTGAGTCATGACTGTCTACAATGTGTAACACCCGAGTCCCACTGTCTGTGATGTTTTCAGAGTTTCAGAGTCCTATCTTCAGTTTGTTTACATCGCCTGGACGGCCGGCTGACTCCTCCCTCGTATAAAAGTTGTTTAATTGAGGGACTAGAGAAAAGAAGAATAACATACTGTACTCACTGCTTAACTGTGTTTCTAGATCACGCTCATTTCAGGTAAATT